CATTGCTGTGAAACCCCCCGAGTTCCTGACGTTCAGTTCCAGTATGCTGCTGATATTGCTGCTGCTAAGCAGAAGCTCTACACTCTACAAGATGGAAATATCTTGTAAGTGGTCAAACAAAACAAAATCATAATTTCCCTTGGAAAAAGACAGACCCAATATTAACAGGACAGAGAAAAAAAAAAAAAAAAAAAATACCGACGCTTGCACAGAGGGATTTGATTTACAAAACAGAACATGAAAACAAAACTTATTTGTCTCAATCATCATTGAATGCCAATCAAAAGCTTTAGCTCAGACTCTCCTAATGGCGATGCAGTTATTGACATGTGGAAAATAAAAAAAGGGTTCAAGTTGTCTGAGAGAAAACTTTTCTACAGAAGTATTGCTGTAAAAATTTTGTTTTGGGAACAGATCCAAAGAGTAAACACTAAACAGAGTCACTGGAGGACAACCAAAATAAATCCCTGAAGGCACTTGGAAGGTGTTAAATCGAATAAGCTACGATTAAATTTCAAATTGAACACAACAAAAGAGGCCACACCATGAAGCATTCTTGCATTTATCTTTTATTAAGTAGTCACAACCAAATAACTCAATTTCATATTTCATTCTACATTATCATTAATTTAAATCAAGCATATTAGTCTCTATGTGTAGGAAATATAAATGCTTTTTACCCTTTATGAGAAGTTGGGAAGTTTTTCCGAATCAATAGAAATGAAGATCAAGAATACAACAGTGAGAAACCAAAATAAAATAAAAAAAAAAGAATAAAAAAACTTGGTAGTGAATTAAATTAAGGTGGAGCTGAACTTGCCTCAAGTTGTTTTCTAGATACCGCGAGGTGCAAGATTGCGTTTCCATCTTTATCAACAGAATTCACAAGCTCTTCCAAACCAAGCCCTTCCAGCCATTTGACCAAGTGTTTAAAGGCTTCAAGCTTATAGTATTTCAAAGCTAGATGAAGAGCAGTTTCACCGAGAGATGTCACATCTTTAACACACTCACCGCAAGTGGTAAGTAATTGATCAATAATCTCAACCCTTTCATTTATAGCAGCATAATGAAGACATGTTCTTCCTTCTCTTCCCTTGAGACGGCAAACATGACGATGACAATTTGTGATCTCTTCCACTATTTCTACGTACCCAATTGCGGAAGCAATGTCCAGTGGCCGAAACCCATCTTGGTTTGATTGTCTTACGAAATCTGGTCTCTGTTTAAGTATTTGTTGTACAAAAGCCAGTTGTCCGGCCTTAGTAGCAATGTGTAACGGGTTCTCGTATGGAGAGAAGAGCTCACAATCAGCTAGAATCAAAGGGTTTTCAAGAAGTAATTGGTACAATAAACTAACGTTGCCAGTTCGAGCTGCCTCAAACAATCTTCCATCCATTTCCAATCTTGAAAGAAAGAGACAGAACTGCCTTCTATTTTGGTTTTACCAGGAGTAAGGGGCATCATTGAACGGGTTAAGAGTATATATAATGTCGTTCTCCAGCCACCGGTGTGCGAAGAATTCTTCTAACAAAACTTCTACCAAATATATGTTGACTAACATGAAAGATGAAAAATTGTACACTTCAACATGAAAGATATTGTATTACAGTATTGAACTTTCAACGTACCTGGAAAATCGTTTTGTTCTTACCCGTATTTTCTCTCTATAAAATGTTGAATTTTCCTCGTTGCCACTCCAGTTTTGATGACATAAGGCATTCTACGGCATCTCAATATATATATATATATATATACACTAAAGAGATGGCTCTTTCATTCGTTTGAATATTCAAACATGTTTTGGAAAAAAGCAAATAAAATATCTTAAAAAAATAACTTTTTGAAAGTTTAATATTAAGAATAATTTTTGTAATAATATTGATGTATGATATTACTGTACAAGAGAATATATATTTGTGTTTCCAGATAATTATGTTTAAAGCGTTTAATTTGTCTTCTTGTTCTTTGAATATTCATAGGTGAGCAATACCCTTTAATTTTAATAATTGTTTTCAGCATTCCTTTGTTGAAATGACTGACGCATTGAAAGACAAAATAGGATGGATGTGGGAATCTGAAGGAGCTAGGAAACAAATTTCTTTTGTACATTAATTCCACTTCACAGAATCTCTCTTCTTGCTGTGTAACCGAACTGAGATGATCTTATATTGTCTCGTCTCTTCTTGTACACCATCCCTCCGAACCAAACCAAACACGCTGTCACTACGATCGCTTCCACAACTCCTGCCTTCTTCCCTCCACTCATTCCACTAACGCCGCCAGAAATCTCCTTTCCATCTCCATTCGTATTCAAATCACTGTGGTTCACATCGCTCGCTTCTGTTGGCGCCGGACTCGGAGCCGAAGCGGGTGTTGCTGCCTACGACGGTACATCTTTCAGATCTAAAGGCGACAGTGTTGGTGGGGAAAATGCCAGTGAACTCGTCGGAGCATGGGATGGAGATCCGGTTTCCGGCGCTGGAACTGGCGACGGTATAGCCGAATCACCGGTCAGTTCCGGAAGTGACGCCAGAGAATTTAGGCATCACCATTGCTAAAAAATAAATGAAGCCACTGAGTTTGAGAAGTGAAGACTGAAGTAGAAGTGTTCGTTGAAATGCAGATCCGAGGTTTTAGAAGAAGTAGATCTGAAGGCGTAGATGATAAGGAGGTGAATATTGAACGGCGTCGTGGAGAGGGAGAGTGAAAAGAAGAGAAATGCGTGGAATGGGGATTGAAATGAAGATTTTAGGTAAGGAGAAAATGAATTTGTAGGGTACAGTTAACGGGTACCCGCGCGGTGTCTGTCTAATTTTTATTACTAGTTTAGCATATGGTTGTCAAATCGTATATAGTATCAAAAATTTAATTTTTTGAATCGTATATTGTGTATTGTATTATATTGTAGGATACACTTTTTTTTTTAAATTAATAAAATAATAAAATTTTTCTAAAAATTAATATCATTCTGAATCGTGTATCGTGTATCATATTGTATCGCAGGGTACGCTTTTTTCAAAAAAATTAATAAAATAATAAATTTTTTCTAAAAATTAATTTCATTCTCATGATTAATTAACAAATTTTGTAGTATTATTCACTTTAAATTATGGTATTACATAATCAAAATTAATCACAAAATTAAGAATATATATTATTTCCTCTCAACCATTCATATCATTTCCAAGATCAATGTCAATATTTATAACTCCACTTATGTTATTATTATCATGCAAAATGAGCAAAAAATCTTTCTTTTCACTTTCTCTATGCATAATGTGTAAATTTAGGCAGGTTATAGTGAACCGGGTTGGATGACTCGAATCCGACCTGAAATTTTTTTTGGACCTTTTGGCCCAAATTAATAAAGTCGTATCGATCTGTATCGATATTTTTAAAGATGCAAACGGATACGTATCGTATCGTAGGATACATATCAACGTATCGAATGGTTTATAATACACTCTCTGATCATGGTTGTTAGTATCCTACGATACCCGATACATATCATACGATACGATTCGATACAGGTCAGAGAGTGTATCCTAAACCATTCGATATGTTGATATGTATCCTACGATACGATACGTATCCTTAAAAATATCGATATAAATCGATATGACTTTATTAATTTAGGGATCCAAAAAAAAAATTGGGTCAAAACCAAGTCACCCAACCCGATTCACTAAAACCTGTCCAAATTTACTTATTTTGCATGGAGAAAGTGAAGAGGAATATGTATTGCCCATTTTACATGATAATAATAATATAAGTGGAGATATAGATATTGACATTGATATTAGAATTTTGTGATTAATTTTGATTATGTAATACCATAATTTAAAGTCAATAATACCACAAAATTCTTTAATTAATCTTGGGGATTATATTAATTTTTAGGAAATTTTGATTATTTATTAATTTTTTTGAAAAAGGCGTATCTTACGATACGATATGATATGCGATACACGATTCAAAAAATTAGGTTTTCGATACACGATTTGATAACCATGTCTCTGATATGTATCGTTGACGACCCATATCGAATCGTATCATAAGATACGTATCGTGTATCGTAGGATACTAACAACCATGGTTTAGAACTGGTTCTTTTGGATCCGTACGTGTTGGACCTGTATCATTAAACCCAGCCCATATGTATCCGGCTCGCGGAGTTGTAATGCAACCTAGGATAGCTCCTTTGAGGATTAATCAAGTACGTATAAATTAACCTAACATCTCAGTTAAAAAACAGATAAAAAAAAAAAAAAAAAAATGGTCTCTTACCCGAACCCTAATGGAATCAGTTAAATCAAATTATTGCAAATTTGTGTTTGAGGCTTGATATGAAAAAAATTATAAATCCTTCTTCTTCTTATTTTTTCCCAAATTTTTAATTTTAATACAATTTTTTTTTTTTTTAATAAGGCAGTAATTACCTCTCCGTGACTCGAAGATAAGGTCACATGGATGATTAAAGTGCTTGCTATATGATCATAAAAGACATATAATTTTTTTAACTCACTCGAAATTTATATTCAGTTCCACTCATGTATCTAAATAGGAAAATGCTACATGTATAAAAACTCTTACAAAGAGTCTTTGTGCAAAATGATGTGGCAGCTACCATACCACTAGTTTCACATCAATCTTTTCTTTCTTTTCACAGTGGAACTTACTACATCACTTTGTACAAAGACTCTTTGTAAGAGTCTTTGTACATGTAGCATTTCTCATCTAAATAGCATGGTTAACTATGTAGTGTTTACACATGATAGGAAACGAAAGTATTCAAAACCAATGAAGATCGATATCTTTGCAAAGATAAATACTTGACCTGCCATGTAAGATGGATTATAAATCACATTATTCAAGTCAGGTGGCTGCCCTCCTGCATCCAGGCAGCTCATAAATATAAGACCACTTTATTTTATAAAAGCATGTAAATCGATCTTACCCCAAGCACAGGTTTGTAATTGTAAACCTCCACCTTCAAATGCTTAAGAGGGTGGGCGTTGCCAGCGTTTCCTAACCCCTCTTGGTAGCTTCTGTAGCACATAAGGTAGAAGAAGGGCAGTGAACAGTGTGGTGTACTGTATGGCATCGTTAGGTGTAATAGATGTAATTGCCATACCATAAGAGAACGCCATTGCGAAAATACAAAGTTGAAGCTCTCTGTTGAACGGGAATCCGCCTGTCAGATAATCTATCATGACCATTGATGTAGAAAAGCCCAATGTATTCCCAAATGAGAAAACCCTCGCTGGTACTACGAGTAGGGAATTCGCTGGGGTTTTATCCGGAAAAATGCTATTTGGAGGGTCCACCGCAGCTTGGTAAGTAACTGTCGCAATAAGTGCAGCCACAACTAACAGTGCATCGCGAGCATCACCTGGTTTATCCCTTCCAATTTTAAATTTAAAATAATTAATCCAATCTTCAAAAACTACTGGAGCAGGCTCCGGATGAATCTGAGTATTAATGAGAGTGTGATCAGGAGTTTGTACACCAAGCCCACCCGCACGTTGGAGGATTTCCTTTAGCCGAACTTCATTGGAATTCTCTATCACTATATCTAACAAATCCATTGCAGTGAAACCCCTCGAGTTCCTGGCGTTCAGTTCCAGAATGTTGCTGATATTGCCGCTGCCAAGCAGAAGCTCAACAATCTACATGATCAGAATATCTTATAAGTTTAGGTGAGGATTATATTCAAGACTTTCCCGGCCATAAGTGGTCAAACTAAATAAAGTCGTATTTAACCCATGAAAAAAGATAGACCACAAACATAAATGAAATCAAGATAAGGTGATCAAGAGTATAACAATAGGACCATTTAAATATCAAAAGAAAGACCCTCAAAAAATAAAAGTTAAAAAATGTGGAAATTCTGGGAGGTGAATGAACTTAATTAGTAAGGTGGAGTTCAACTTGCCTCGAGTTGTTTCCTACACACTGCCAGGTGCAATACTGTGTTTCCATCTCTATCACCCCAATTCACGAGCTCTTCTAAGCCAAGCTTTTCCAGCCATTTGACCAAGTTTGTAAAAGCTTCAAGTTTATGGTTTTTCAAAGCCAGATGAAGAGCAGTTTCGCCGAGAGATGTCAGATCTTTAACAGAGTCACCACAAGAGGTAAGCAATTTATCAATAATCTCAACCCTTCCATTTATAGCAGCATGATGAATACATGTTCTTCCATGCGTCCCCTTGAGACGACAAACATCAGGATGGCAAGTCATTATGATTTCTTCCACAATTTCGACATGCCCAAGAACTGAAGCAATGTCCAGTGGCCGAAACCCATCTTGGTTCTCTTGACTAACTAGATCAGCCTTCTGTTTAATCATTTCTTTTACAAAAGCAAGCTGTCCGGCCTTAGTAGCAACGTGTAACGGGTTCTCATGAGGAGATATGAGAGCAGAATCAGCTAGAACCAATGGGTTTTCAGCAAGTAATTGGTGCAACGCACTGACGCTGCCTGTTCGAGCTGCCTCAAACAATCTGCCGTCCATTCTAGTCTAGAATTATTCACACGACACAGTAGGTAAGTAAAGATTGTTTTCTTGGCTTTCTTGGCTGCATTCTATTTTGAATGGGTTGAAAGCACAGAATTTATAGAGGTTTCTTCCTTACTCATATTGTTGACAAAGACCGAAATATTATTAACAGGCTTTTTACTATTGAGGTTTGAAAATTCAATTGACGTATATGTCTCGCTTTTTACAATTCGTTTGTCTTTATAAAATGTTGAATTTTCCTTATTACTGCTTTTGTGTTGGCAACATATACATACTAAAGAGTAAAGATTGCTCTTTCATTCGTTTGAATATTCAAACATATTTTGGAAAAAAGCACATAAGATATCTTGAAAAATAACTTTGAGAAAGTTTAATTTTAAGAATAATTTCTGTAATATTTTGTAATAATATTTATATATGATATTACTGTACAAAAAAATATATGCTTTGTGTTTCTAGATAATTATGTTTAACGTGTTTTTTTTTTTTTTTTTTTTTAATATTTTTAAAATATTATTTTCATATAAGCATGTCGAACGTATTTTTATTTTTAATATTTTTTAAAAGATAAAGAAGAAAATTTATAAAGAAACACATCCTCAACGATACCGAAACTTCCATGAAAGGAATCAGTTCATGCATGTAAGACTCCGATTGCAATCTTCCATGAAAGGAATCGGTACATGTAAGACTACAATTGCAGTCAAGTCATCAAGGAAAAGGGAATATGCATACGTCTCTGAGGCTCTAATATTAAAAAATAAAGATAAATCCCAATTAGCTAGCCACCTTGCAAATCTACGACACTAATTCTAGAAAATTATTAGCCAACAGCCACGTAGTAAGTATTTCACCAAGAGATGTCACATCTTGAACAGAGTGTAAGTAATTCTTAAATAATCTCAACCCATCCATTTATAGCAGCCGGCAGCATAACCAAGACATTTTCTTCCATCTCTTTCACTTTCACTCTTTCTAGGTACCCAATTGCACAAGCAAAATCCAGTGGCCGAAACCCATCTTGGTTTAATTGTTCAATGAGATCAGCTTTCTGCATAATTATTTTTGTACAAAACCAAGCTGTCCGGCTTTAGTAGCAATGTGTAATGGGAGCAGAGATCATTTCACAACAGCCAGAATTAATGGATTTTCAGTAAGCAATTGCACTCACTCAGATTTCAAGTTTCTATTTGGACATCTTGGAAGTCAGTTAAGTTTTGGCATCTTTACTTCTAACTTTCATTGCTCAAGAAATTGTATAAGATGATATGTTACAACATGATGATTAATGTGTAAGACTTGACGTGGCCACATCCCATATGCCACAATTATGCAATTGAAGGTGGTTTAAGGAGTTATTTATACTGTCTCTTTTAATCCTTATGAGAGATCAGAGACAATTGATGAGAGTTATCTTAATCCCTAGTCTGGCCATTTATAAAGATATCATCTTCTTCATCAAAGATATATCACACAACATGAAACTTTGGAGACATAGATTAGAGGACATCTCTCAAACACTCTCTTAAAATCATCTATATTTGGCTTTCTACAATACTTGAACAATATGATTAGAAGTAAGTGATTAAATTCCATATTACTTATATACATGGTATTTCATATAATGGAGACTTACAGTTCAAGATAAATGAATATATTAAAGCGGATGTCACATCTCTTTATATAGATTAATTTGTATATGTAAAATTATTCAAAAATAATTTTTTTTAATTTGATATCATAATTAAAAACATAAATAATACCACATATGCAAACTAGTCAATACAAAAATGATGTGGCAATTTAAAATATTAATTTAAATGAATTCCTTCGACCATAATATAACAAATTAGTTTATATAAATTAATTTAATTAAGAATTATTGGCTTTTATCTTTCATACAAGTCTTAATAAAAGAGTATTAGAATGAAAAAAATTAAAGGAGAAAAAAAACTTCTTGTTAATATTTCGGTCTTCGTCAACAAAATGAGCAAGGAAGAAACCTCTATAAATTCTGTGCTTTCAATACTTACTCTTTACCCTTATTTTATCTGCCTAGAATCATAACCTCAGGGTGCCATGCGGTATAAGGAGATAGAGAATGTCACCGCATCTGGTCTTGGCAAAGTCAATCAAAAACTCTTCCTCTCATGAGGTAAACCGGGATTTTTTTTTTAATCTGAGCAAATCTCGAATAACTAGTCTGTTTTCCAACTTAGATTCCTCGAAGCTTTCCTGAAGTAACTTACGTGCCTCAATGTCCACAATGATCCACGGGATTCCCATTTCTATTGTTCTTCGAAAGAAAAAATCAAAAGCAAAGCTTTCTTTTATTACATACATACGTACTGGAACAAGGAACGGGAGTTGTGGAAGCGATCGTAGTGACTGCGTGTTTGATTTGGTTCGGAGGGATGGTGTACAAGAAGAGACGAGACAATATAAGAAGATCTCAGTACGTTTACACAGCAAGAAGAGAGATTCTGTGAAGTGGAATTAATGTACAGGAGAAATTTGTTTCCTAGCTCCTTCAGATTCCCACATCCATCCTATTTTGTCTTTCAATGCGTCAGTCATTATAATTGATTTCAACAAAGGAATGCTGAAAACAATTATTAAAATTTTCATTAGTCGTTTCAAAGCATAGTTGATTAGTATTCATAAGTCGTGTTGGAATACCTCAAGCTGGCTGAAGCAGAATCTGACAGTGAACGAAACTAAAGGGAATTGCTTACCTATGAATATTCAAAGAACAAGAAGACAAATTAAACTGACCTATACAAGAATACTATCATGTGGTACTCAATATCTCAGTCACTTTCTGCATGAGAAAAACATTAACATTTTCTAGTCGGTATAGAAATAATAACATATACCGTAAACCGGGTTTTAAGGAAAGTATGATCACAAGACAAGACAAATTTAATGTCGGCCTCCTTAGCTATGAAAGAATAAGTAATATATTTAGTATAATCAGAACAAATTTTATTGTATTTTTCCTAAAAGATTTCAATTTTCAAAGACAATCTGGTTAAATGTTTGATTAGTATAAAGCATTCGTCAAAGTTGTTTTACAATTGAGGTTTGAAAATTCAAATGACGTATATGTCTCGATTAAGAAAGAAAAATAAGTCATCAATAGACTACAGTATTGAACTTTCAACGTCCCCAGAAAATCCTTGATGATAAGCCAGCAATGAAAAGGGAATATGCACACGTCTCTAATTCTAATATTTTTTTAAAGGGAAATATGCACAAATTGCCTAGTGACAAGACACCATTATTTTAAGAGTCAAGGTCTATGTCGACATGGTTTAGTCTTTGTTTTTGTTTTTCATTCTTTTCAGATAGTTACGCAACTGTTATGAACCCATCAGATGGAGCTCACCCATACGATATTTAGTAGATGTGGGATCCTCACAAATTCCAACTTAATATAATAACAACACGTTGTATAAAAGCATGTAACTATTTCTCCTGATGAGTTTAATTGTCTTTTCAGTCACTTCGGAATTTTTCTACCCCCTCTTGTATTTCAGCCACTTCTACCATTTTCTGACCCATGGCGGAAGCCATCGAGATGAAACTGGTAGAAGAAGGGTAATTCCTAGTACGACATAATTAATGGCACCCGCAGGTTTAATATAATATACTGCACATCTTTAAGCAAACATCATTGTGAAAATAGCAATTTAACGCTCTCTCTGGAAAGGGAATCTGCTTGTCAAATAAATTATAATGCTGAGTGATGCAGCAAGGCCTAAAGTATTCCAAAATAAAACAAATTCGATTTAACTAGAGAGCCTGAACTCCCGGAAACAACAGCCAAACCGGAGGCAACTGCCTGAACAGACCCTGGAATATAACCCAGAAACAACAGAGATTAACTTTCTTGAAGTACATTTTCTCTTTGGATTGGGCTTCCGCTTAAATGTGATACCCAACCGTTTTCACATTTACTGTTCATATCCGTGTTATGATTCTCTGAACTTTTTCAAGTGCCACTAAAAGAAAATGAGTGGTGACAAAAGAATAATGTGCAGGAAGTAGTATTTTGTTTTGGTTATTTATAACAATTTGTTCCTTTTGACAATTGTACTTATACTTCAATAGGGAACATGTGCAATTACAGATATGAAGTAATAGTTTCCTCCAGTAATCACATGAAAAGAATTCCAAATCTCTCATTAATGGATCATTGAGTATTCTTGTATGAGTGTGGTTAATTTGTCTATCTGTTATTTTAATATTCTTAGGAAAGTAATCCCCTTTAGTTTTGTTCACTGCTCAGATTCTTCTTCAGCCTTAATGACTAATGAAAAATTTAATAGTTCTTTGTAGCGTTAAATCAACCATAATGACTGACGCATTTGTTAAACAAAATAGGAAGAATATGGGAATTGAAAGAGCTACGAAACATGATTGTGCAGCGATGATCACCAACGGTTTTCCTTAAATTTTGGTTTATTTTGAAGTTTGATCAAAATGTCTCGTACCCTAGTCCTAATGGAACCAGTTGACTCCCATTAACGCAGGCTTTTGTACTCCCCCAAACAATTGAGACTTGAATGGAATTGGGTCTAGAAAGTGGTCAGCCCATGAGCAATGGCCCTTGTATCCACACATCATTATTTTTAAATTTCATTCACATATTTTTTATTAGAATTAGAATTACATTTTTATTAGGATTTGGACTGTTTCAAGTTATTCAAGTTAGGATATGGAATCGAAAGCCTGAGCCTATAAATTGGTTTTTTTTGTTTGTTCTATATTCTTAATCATGTCAATCCTTCTATAATCCATTAGTACATCAACTCCTTTGACTTTAATGGCTTCTTTTGTACTTCTGTTGTCTGAATTTTTTTATCTCAAAAGGCCAAATTCTGATTTTATGGATACAACACTCCAATCCTGTCCCTCCCAAAACCAATTGAAAAAAGAGAGTAACATCACACAACTTTATTCTTGTCCTTCCCGAAATAATACATTTATTCAAGTAGTGGTCGAAGAGGAAGATTTGACGGAACTGTTAGAGTCAAGGATCTGTTTGGACATGGTTTAGCCTTAAAAAGTCAATTTCTTTATTACAGGTTTTAATCTTATTGTCAGTTAGACGAAGTCTTTCATTCTATTCCCATGCATAGACAAGATTTGTAGATTAAGTTTTGAGAAAAAACGCATACTTAAGGATGCCCGCATTTTAGTTCAAATTTAGTTAATGGTATGATCATATACAGCTCTAACATACATATGCCTGAAATTACATACATACCAATTTTAACATGCAACAAAATCAATTTACTAAATAAAAAGTTCCAACTTGATGAATGAATTCTGGAACATGATTACAATACATTTTTATGTAAAAGCATGTAATTATTTATCCAACACAGGTTTGTAAATCTCCAGATTCAAATGCTTAAGGATGAGTTTAATTGTCTTTCAGCGACTTCGGAATTGTTCTGCTCCCTCCTGTATTGCAGCCACTTCCAAAATTTTCTGACCCATCGTGGAAGCCATCGGAATAAAAATGGTAGAAGAAGGGCAATTACTAGTACGACATACTTAATGGCACCCGCAGGTTTAATATGATGTGCTGCACATCCATAAGTAAACATCATTGAGAAAATTGCGATTTGAAGCTCTCTCTGGAAAGGGAATCTGCTTGTCAGATAAATTATAATGTTGAGTGATGCAACAAGGCCTAATGTATTCGAAAATAAAAACAAATTCGGTGTAACTAGAGAGCCTGAACTCCCAGAAACAACAGTCAAACCGGAGACAACTGCTGGAACAACCGCTGGAATATTAGTCTGAGGAGGAGGAGGAGCAGAGTTCGCCGTATTGGTGGAATTGGCTGCGGGAGTATCCAGAATAAAGCTACTTGGTGGGTTTATCCCTGCTTGGAAAGTCACAGTTGCAATCAGTGCGGCTACGACTAATAGTGCATTGCGAGTGTCACTTGGTGAGTCCCTTTTCATTTGAAATTGAAAATACTTTATCCAGTCTTTTGAAACTCCTGTAGAAGGGTTTGGATTGTTTATCAGAGTGTTATGAGGATTTTCTGTGCCGAGGGCTCCCGCAGATTGGAGGATTTCCTTTAGTCGAACATCATTTGGATTGTCTATGGGTGTATTATCTAACAAATCCATTGCTGTGAAACCCCTCGAGTTCCTGACGTTCAGTTCCAGTATGCTGCTGCTAAGCAGTAGCTCTACACTCTACATGATGGAAATATCATGTTAGTGGTCAAATAAAACAAAATCATAATTTCCCTAGGAAAAATAAAGGCCCGATATTAACAGGACAGGAAAAAAAAAAAGATACCGGCGCTTGCACTGAGGGATTACAAAACAGAACATGAGAACAAAACTATTTGTCTCAATCATCACTGAATGACAATCAACTCTCCGAGCGGCGATGCAGTTATTGACATTTGTTAAACCAAAAAGGCCTTATGTCTGAAAGAAAGCTTTTATACAGGAGTATTGCTGTAAAAATTTTGTTTTGGGAACAGATCCAAAGAGGAAAGAGAGTAACTGGAGGACAACCAAAATAAATCCCTGAAGGCACTTGGAAGGTGTATAATCAAATAACCTACGATTAAATTTCAAATTGAACACAACAAAAGAGGCCACACCATGAATCACTCTCGCTTTTATCTTTTATTTAGTAGTCACAACCAAATAACTCAATTTCATTTTTCATTCTACATTATCGTTAATTTAAATCAAGCATATTATTCTCTTTGTATAGGAAATATGAATGCCTTTTACCCTTTATGAGAAGTTGGGAAGGTTTTCCAAATCAATAGAAATGAAGATCAAGAATACAACAGTCAGAAACAAGGAAAAAAAAAGAAAAGAAAGAAAGAGCTTGGTAGTGAATTAAATTAAGGTGGAGCAGAACTTGCCTCAAATTGTTTTCTAGATACCGCGAGGTGCAAGATCGTGTTTCCATCTTTATCAACCCAATTCACAAGCTCTTCCAAGCCAAGCCTTTCCAGCCAAAACTGGTTCAAACATTTCCGAAGTTGGAATATCATAAAGTTTCGATCTACTTCTCGTCAAAGTGGCTCTCTACAGTGTAGAAATTCACACTCACCAGAAGTGTTAAGTAATTCATCAATAATCTCAACCCTTTCATTTATAGCAGCATAATGAAGACATGTTCTTCCTTCTCTTCCCTTAAGACGGCAAACATCACGATAACAAGTTGTGATCTCTTTCACTATTTCTACGTACCCAAATGCGGAAGCAATGTCCAGCGGCCGAAACCCATCTTGGTTTGATTGTCTTACGAAATCTGGTCTGTGTTTAAGTATTTGTTGCACAAAAGCCAGTTGTCCGGCCTTAGTAGCAATGTTTAACGGGTTCTCGTGGGGAAAGATGAGCTGACAATCAGCTAGAATCGAAGGTTTTTCAAGAAGTAATTGGTGCAATAAACTAACGTCGCCAGTTCGAGCTGCCTCAAACAATCTTCCATCCATTTCGAATCTTGAAAGAAAGAGATAGAACCTCCTTCTTGTTTGGTATTACCAGGAGTGAGGGGCATCATTGAACGGGTTAAGAGTAGATATAATGTCGTTCTCAAGCTACGGGTCTGCAAAGATTTCATCTAACAAAACTTCTAAGAAGTATATGTTGACTTAAAACATGAAACTCGAAAGATGAAAAATTGTACACTTCATTATCGAAAGTCTTAACAGTTTTTCTCTCCGTTTCCTTTTATTTAATATCGAAAGTAGGTTCTTAGAAAGTAGAAGTGTAGGACGCAGACCAGGTGTTATGTAGAGCAAGAAACTGTAACGGTACTTGGGTAGTACCAGTAGCACCTCCTGTTTCCTTAAAATTAAATAAAAACAAAATGAAACAGAAAAAAACCTGATAATATCAGTAGGTTCCGCGTAGTTCATATCTTATATTTACAGTTATTCTTATATCTCTGCTCCTATTATTATATTCTTAGAGAATAATAACTATTATTAAATAATTTATTAATTTCTTTTTAATCTTTTTATATCACATCAATTTACATGTAAAATTTTTTTGAATAACAGTTTACAGCTTCAAAATGTATAAATTATTTCAAAATCAAAATATGAACATTTTATCACATCAAACAATTACGTTCTAATAATCTGGTTCTCTTCTAGCTAATTATCACTCGTAAGTTACCGATGTCACTGCGAAAATGTGTATCTAAATCACTCCTGTTTATGGACAAAAGAAGATGTGTACATCAAATGCGGCTGCCGACCTATAAAATATTGGAAGTTTATGATCAGTAATTATTGGTGTGAGTTGATTAAAGAGGAACTGACATGACATTCATTTCATTCCAGAAAATTTAGTTAACAATAGGATTACAAGATAACCTTCAATCATCAGGATGCATGTTACTTTTGGACTTGAATCTAATGATACACTTATTGAACAAGTGGATTAAACAACGAATCACAAAAGGCAGAGCAGCAGCAATCAAGACGTACATAAGATTCAAAGAATCATCAGGCGTAACAGCATAAAGAGCGGAAGTATAAGTTACCAACATTGCAGCTGTAGCAACCCCATATCTCGAAATGGAAAGGAAACCTATAGGTAAGTGATACAATTACAAGTATCGTTGTAGAAAGAGCTATGCTGTTTGATATTAGCAAAACGACATGCAAAAATTGCCCACCCTGGAGCATGTCCATCATCTTTATCTTGCCAAACACCACCAGGAATAGTCACTGCTGCAATGAGAGTGACCACCACCAGGATCACATTTCGGGCATTTGCTGGCGAGTCCCTGCCTTCTTCATACTGGAAATACTTGAACCATTACTAACATGCTGTTTTTGAAATCATTAGGTAAATTCTGACAATCCTTTTAAAAACCACCTGCTGAAAGTCTGAAACAGTTTCAGTTTTCTTTTTCAACGGAATTGGCCATGTTTAATATACCTAAGTTGATTTTATATATTCACTAATCATTTATATGATACATTATTTCACAAATAGAATTTTATATATCTAGTATTGTATTAGATATTGGCAATGCTATTGTTCATATATTAATCATTCCTATTGCTTGATATATTGTTCGTATGTTCTATTCTAATAAATACCAAATTATGTTCTTTTCCTATCGCTTAATATTTTTCCATAAAATGCGTGGATTATTTGTAAGAGGAAATCGAGAACATTGGAATCTCAATGTATGTTTTTCAGGAGAAGAATCCATCCGACTTTAATTATAATTTAGTTAATTAATTTCAGAGTAAATTTAACAACTGAAGAAAAGAAAATTTACATTATGAAGTTGACAAGATTGGAGCTGATCCAGATGTGCTGTTTAGGATGTGAATGCAATAGACCTGATCACGTAATTTATTTAGAATAATCAGAACAAACTTTTTATTTGTTTATTCCTAAAGGACTTCAAAAACAATGTCGTTAAAGTTGTTTCACAATTGAGGTTTGAAAATTCAAATGACATATATGTCTTGATTAATTAAGAAAAATAAGTCGATAAGTAATGGTAAATAGACAAGTGACATTGACATACAATTTCTTGAGCAATAAAAGTAAAAGATATTAAAATAGAAACTAGAATTCTGACAGAGTCTACTATTTCAACTTTTCTTTACGTAATATTCATCTATTTTTATAGATAAAAAGGCAATTAATATCCCTAAAATATTACGAAATTTGATGGGTATTAGGAGAAAATGATAACAAGGAACCACGCTAGAACAAGATCCTTTTGATTTGAGACAATATTATATTTATATGCAAACGTCATATCCAACTATAAAATTAAGTTTACTTTGAACCAGAGGTTTTAGCTGTTGACTGAGTATTGTTGAGTAATTAATAGGTAACGATGGCATAACTGGGTGGTGGTTGGGTAAATAAAAATATTAACCAAGGAATTGGTCTGTTTGTACCTACACTCTGCGAACCATTAACTTTAATAAGTCTGCATTTAAATTAGTAGTTATTATAGAGTTTCATCAAACAATAAGTCTAAGTCTTGACTCCTCAAATATACTGTTGGGAATTGAAAGAGCTAGGAAACATGATTGTGTAGCGATGATCACCAACGGTTTTCCTTAAATTTTGGTTTATTTTGAAGTACACCACTTAAGTCCGATCAAAATGTCTCGTACCCTAATCCTAATTGAATCAGTTAACTCCAATCGACTACTTTGAGATTTAATGGCTTCTCTTGTACTTCTGTTGTTTGAATTTCGTCATCTCAAAAGGTGAAATCAACAACACTCCAATCCTTCCTGTCCCTCCCAAAAACAATTGAGAAAGGAGAGTAACATCACACAACTCTATTATTGTCCCTGCCAAAATAATACATTTATTCAAGTACCGGTGGAAGAGAGAGATTTGTTAGAGTCAAGGGTCTGTTTCGACATGCTTTAGCCTTAAAGAGTCAATTTCCTCATTATAAGTTTTAATCTTCTTGTTATTTAGATGTAGTCTTTCATTTATTCTGATGCATACACAGTATTTGTACATTTTCTATATAAAATTGTATCATTAAGTTTTGAGAAAAAACTCATACCTAAGGATGTTCACATTCTAATTCAAATTCAGTTAATGGTATGATCAAATACAACTCTAACATACATATGCCTGCGATTACATACACATCAATTTTAACATGCAACAGAATACGAAAAGGTTCCAAAATCAATTTACTAAATAAAAAATTCCAATTTGATGAAAGAATTCTAGAATATGATCACAATACATTATTATATAAAAGCATGTAATTATTATCCAACACAGGTTTGTAAATCTCCAGATTCTAATGCTTAAAGGGGGCTCGATGAGTTTATTCGTCTTTCAGCCACTTTGGAATTGTTCTGATCCCTCCTGTATTGCAGCCACTTCCAAAATTTTCTGACCCATTTTGGAAGCCATCGAAATAAAAATGGTAGAAGAAGGGCAATTCCTAGTAGGATATACTTAATGGCGCCCGCAGGTTTAATAGAATTTACTGCACACCCATAAGTAAATATCATTGAGAAAATTGCTATTTGAAGCTCTCTCTGGAAAGGGAATCTATTTGTCAGATAAATTATGATGCTTAGGGATGCAGTAAGGCTTAATGTATTTCCAAATACAAACAAATTGGATGTGACTAGAGAGCCTGAACTCGCAAAAACAGCAAGTAAACCAGAGGTAACTCCTGGATAATTATATTCCTTCTCTGGAGTACTAACCGGAGAAGGAGCAGAGCTCGTAGTACTGGTGGAATTGGCTGCGGGTGCACCCAGAGTAAAGCTACTTGGTGGGTTCATCCCTGCTTGGAATGTCACAGTTGCAATCAATGCGGCTACGACTAATAGTGCATTGCGAGTATCACTTGGTGAGTCCCTTTCCATTTGAAATTGAAAATACTTAATCCAGTCTTTTGAAACTCCTGTAGAATGCTTTGGATTGTTTATCATAGTGTTATGAGGAGTTTCTGTACTGAGGGCTCCCGCAAATTGGAGGATTTCCTTTAGTCGAATATCATTTGGATTGTCTACGGGTGAATTATCTAACAAATCCGTCGCTGTGAAACCCCTCGAGTTCCTGACGTTCAGTTCCAGTATGTTGCTGATATTGCTGCTTTTAAGCAGAAGCTCTACACTCTACATGATGGAAATATCTTTTAAGTGGTCAAACAAAACAAAATCACAATTGCCCTAAGAAAAAGACAGACCCAATATTAACAGGACACAGAAAAAAAAAATTAAGATACCGACGCTTGCACGGAGAGATTACAAAACAGAACATGAAAACAAAACTATTAGTCTAAATCATCATTGAATGCCAATCAAAAGCTTTAGCTCTGACTCTACCAGCGGCGATGCAATTATTGACATGTGGAAAATCAAAACGGCTTCAAGTTGGGTCCGAAAGAAAACTTTTCTACAGAAGTATTGCTGCAAATATTTTGTTTTGGGAACAGATCCAAAAGGGTACAGAGAGTGACTGGAGGACAACCAAAATAAATCCCTGAAGGCACTCGGATGGTGTTAAATCAAATAACCTACGATTAAATTTCAAATTGAACACAACAAAAGAGCCACACCATGAAGCATTCTTGCATTTATCTTCTGTGAAGTAGTGACAACCAAATAACTGAATTTCAAATTTCATTCTAAATTATCATTAATTTAAATCAAGCATATTAGCCTCTTTGTATAGGAAATATAAATGCTTTTTACCCTTTATGAGAAGTTGGGAAGGTTTTCCAAATCAATAGAAATGAAGATCAAGAATACAACAGTCAGAAAAAAAAAATGAAAGAAAAAGAATAATAAGAGCTTGGTAGTGAATTAAATTAAGGTGGAGCTGAACTTGCCTCAAGTTGTTTTCTAGATACCGCGAGGTGCAAGATGGTGTTTCCATCTTTATCAACCGAATTCACAAGCTCTTCCAAACCAAGCTCTTCCAGCCATTTGACCAAGTTTGTAAAGGCTTCAACCTTATAGTATTTCAAAGCTAGATGAAGAGCAGTTTCACCGAGAGATGTCACATCTTTAACACACTCACCAGAAGTGTTAAGTAATTCATCAATAATCTCAACCCTTTCATTTATAGCAGCATAATGAAGACATGTTCTTCCTTCTCTTCCCTTAAGACGGCAAACATCACGATAACAAGTTGTGATCTCTTTCACTATTTCTACGTACCCAAATGCGGAAGCAATGTCCAGCGGCCGAAACCCATCTTGGTTTGATTGTCTTACGAAATCTGGTCTGTGTTTAAGTATTTGTTGCACAAAAGCCAGTTGTCCGGCCTTAGTAGCAATGTTTAACGGGTTCTCGTGGGGAAAGATGAGCTGACAATCAGCTAGAATCGAAGGTTTTTCAAGAAGTAATTGGTGCAATAAACTAACGTCGCCAGTTCGAGCTGCCTCAAACAATCTTCCATCCATTTCGAATCTTGAAAGAAAGAGATAGAACCTCCTTCTTGTTTGGTATTACCAGGAGTGAGGGGCATCATTGAACGGGTTAAGAGTAGATATAATGTCGTTCTCAAGCTACGGGTCTGCAAAGATTTCATCTAACAAAACTTCTAAGAAGTATATGTTGACTTAAAACATGAAACTCGAAAGATGAAAAATTGTACACTTCATTATCGAAAGTCTTAACAGTTTTTCTCTCCGTTTCCTTTTATTTAATATCGAAAGTAGGTTCTTAGAAAGTAGAAGTGTAGGACGCAGACCAGGTGTTATGTAGAGCAAGAAACTGTAACGGTACTTGGGTAGTACCAGTAGCACCTCCTGTTTCCTTAAAATTAAATAAAAACAAAATGAAACAGAAAAAAACCTGATAATATCAGTAGGTTCCGCGTAGTTCATATCTTATATTTACAGTTATTCTTATATCTCTGCTCCTATTATTATATTCTTAGAGAATAATAACTATTATTAAATAATTTATTAATTTCTTTTTAATCTTTTTATATCACATCAATTTACATGTAAAATTTTTTTGAATAACAGTTTACAGCTTCAAAATGTATAAATTATTTCAAAATCAAAATATGAACATTTTATCACATCAAACAATTACGTTCTAATAATCTGGTTCTCTTCTAGCTAATTATCACTCGTAAGTTACCGATGTCACTGCGAAAATGTGTATCTAAATCACTCCTGTTTATGGACAAAAGAAGATGTGTACATCAAATGCGGCTGCCGACCTATAAAATATTGGAAGTTTATGATCAGTAATTATTGGTGTGAGTTGATTAAAGAGGAACTGACATGACATTCATTTCATTCCAGAAAATTTAGTTAACAATAGGATTACAAGATAACCTTCAATCATCAGGATGCATGTTACTTTTGGACTTGAATCTAATGATACACTTATTGAACAAGTGGATTAAACAACGAATCACAAAAGGCAGAGCAGCAGCAATCAAGACGTACATAAGATTCAAAGAATCATCAGGCGTAACAGCATAAAGAGCGGAAGTATAAGTTACCAACATTGCAGCTGTAGCAACCCCATATCTCGAAATGGAAAGGAAACCTATAGGTAAGTGATACAATTACAAGTATCGTTGTAGAAAGAGCTATGCTGTTTGATATTAGCAAAACGACATGCAAAAATTGCCCACCCTGGAGCATGTCCATCATCTTTATCTTGCCAAACACCACCAGGAATAGTCACTGCTGCAATGAGAGTGACCACCACCAGGATCACATTTCGGGCATTTGCTGGCGAGTCCCTGCCTTCTTCATACTGGAAATACTTGAACCATTACTAACATGCTGTTTTTGAAATCATTAGGTAAATTCTGACAATCCTTTTAAAAACCACCTGCTGAAAGTCTGAAACAGTTTCAGTTTTCTTTTTCAACGGAATTGGCCATGTTTAATATACCTAAGTTGATTTTATATATTCACTAATCATTTATATGATACATTATTTCACAAATAGAATTTTATATATCTAGTATTGTATTAGATATTGGCAATGCTATTGTTCATATATTAATCATTCCTATTGCTTGATATATTGTTCGTATGTTCTATTCTAATAAATACCAAATTATGTTCTTTTCCTATCGCTTAATATTTTTCCATAAAATGCGTGGATTATTTGTAAGAGGAAATCGAGAACATTGGAATCTCAATGTATGTTTTTCAGGAGAAGAATCCATCCGACTTTAATTATAATTTAGTTAATTAATTTCAGAGTAAATTTAACAACTGAAGAAAAGAAAATTTACATTATGAAGTTGACAAGATTGGAGCTGATCCAGATGTGCTGTTTAGGATGTGAATGCAATAGACCTGATCACGTAATTTATTTAGAATAATCAGAACAAACTTTTTATTTGTTTATTCCTAAAGGACTTCAAAAACAATGTCGTTAAAGTTGTTTCACAATTGAGGTTTGAAAATTCAAATGACATATATGTCTTGATTAATTAAGAAAAATAAGTCGATAAGTAATGGTAAATAGACAAGTGACATTGACATACAATTTCTTGAGCAATAAAAGTAAAAGATATTAAAATAGAAACTAGAATTCTGACAGAGTCTACTATTTCAACTTTTCTTTACGTAATATTCATCTATTTTTATAGATAAAAAGGCAATTAATATCCCTAAAATATTACGAAATTTGATGGGTATTAGGAGAAAATGATAACAAGGAACCACGCTAGAACAAGATCCTTTTGATTTGAGACAATATTATATTTATATGCAAACGTCATATCCAACTATAAAATTAAGTTTACTTTGAACCAGAGGTTTTAGCTGTTGACTGAGTATTGTTGAGTAATTAATAGGTAACGATGGCATAACTGGGTGGTGGTTGGGTAAATAAAAATATTAACCAAGGAATTGGTCTGTTTGTACCTACACTCTGCGAACCATTAACTTTAATAAGTCTGCATTTAAATTAGTAGTTATTATAGAGTTTCATCAAACAATAAGTCTAAGTCTTGACTCCTCAAATATACTGTTGGGAATTGAAAGAGCTAGGAAACATGATTGTGTAGCGATGATCACCAACGGTTTTCCTTAAATTTTGGTTTATTTTGAAGTACACCACTTAAGTCCGATCAAAATGTCTCGTACCCTAATCCTAATTGAATCAGTTAACTCCAATCGACTACTTTGAGATTTAATGGCTTCTCTTGTACTTCTGTTGTTTGAATTTCGTCATCTCAAAAGGTGAAATCAACAACACTCCAATCCTTCCTGTCCCTCCCAAAAACAATTGAGAAAGGAGAGTAACATCACACAACTCTATTATTGTCCCTGCCAAAATAATACATTTATTCAAGTACCGGTGGAAGAGAGAGATTTGTTAGAGTCAAGGGTCTGTTTCGACATGCTTTAGCCTTAAAGAGTCAATTTCCTCATTATAAGTTTTAATCTTCTTGTTATTTAGATGTAGTCTTTCATTTATTCTGATGCATACACAGTATTTGTACATTTTCTATATAAAATTGTATCATTAAGTTTTGAGAAAAAACTCATACCTAAGGATGTTCACATTCTAATTCAAATTCAGTTAATGGTATGATCAAATACAACTCTAACATACATATGCCTGCGATTACATACACATCAATTTTAACATGCAACAGAATACGAAAAGGTTCCAAAATCAATTTACTAAATAAAAAATTCCAATTTGATGAAAGAATTCTAGAATATGATCACAATACATTATTATATAAAAGCATGTAATTATTATCCAACACAGGTTTGTAAATCTCCAGATTCTAATGCTTAAAGGGGGCTCGATGAGTTTATTCGTCTTTCAGCCACTTTGGAATTGTTCTGATCCCTCCTGTATTGCAGCCACTTCCAAAATTTTCTGACCCATTTTGGAAGCCATCGAAATAAAAATGGTAGAAGAAGGGCAATTCCTAGTAGGATATACTTAATGGCGCCCGCAGGTTTAATAGAATTTACTGCACACCCATAAGTAAATATCATTGAGAAAATTGCTATTTGAAGCTCTCTCTGGAAAGGGAATCTATTTGTCAGATAAATTATGATGCTTAGGGATGCAGTAAGGCTTAATGTATTTCCAAATACAAACAAATTGGATGTGACTAGAGAGCCTGAACTCGCAAAAACAGCAAGTAAACCAGAGGTAACTCCTGGATAATTATATTCCTTCTCTGGAGTACTAACCGGAGAAGGAGCAGAGCTCGTAGTACTGGTGGAATTGGCTGCGGGTGCACCCAGAGTAAAGCTACTTGGTGGGTTCATCCCTGCTTGGAATGTCACAGTTGCAATCAATGCGGCTACGACTAATAGTGCATTGCGAGTATCACTTGGTGAGTCCCTTTCCATTTGAAATTGAAAATACTTAATCCAGTCTTTTGAAACTCCTGTAGAATGCTTTGGATTGTTTATCATAGTGTTATGAGGAGTTTCTGTACTGAGGGCTCCCGCAAATTGGAGGATTTCCTTTAGTCGAATATCATTTGGATTGTCTACGGGTGAATTATCTAACAAATCCGTCGCTGTGAAACCCCTCGAGTTCCTGACGTTCAGTTCCAGTATGCTGCTGATATTGCTGCTTTTTAGCAGAAGCTCTACACTCTACATGATGGAAATATCTTGTAAGTGGTCAAACAAAACAAAATCACAATTGCCCTAAGAAAAAGACAGACCCAATATTAACAGGACACATAAAAAAAAATTAAGATACCGACGCTTGCACGGAGAGATTACAAAACAGAACATGAAAACAAAACTATTTGTCTAAATCATCATTGAATGCCAATCAAAAGCTTTAGCTCTGACTCTACCAGCGGCGATGCAATTATTGACATGTGGAAAATCAAAACGGCTTCAAGTTGGGTCCGAAAGAAAACTTTTCTACAGAAGTATTGCTGCAAATATTTTGTTTTGGGAACAGATCCAAAAGGGTACAGAGAGTGACTGGAGGACAACCAAAATAAATCCCTGAAGGCACTCGGATGGTGTTAAATCAAATAACCTACGATTAAATTTCAAATTGAACACAACAAAAGAGCCACACCATGAAGCATTCTTGCATTTATCTTTTATGAAGCAGTCACAACCAAATAACTGAATTTCATTTTTCATTCTACGTTATCATTAATTTAAATCAAGCATATTAGTCTCTTTGTATACGAAATATAAATGCTTTTTACCCTTTATGAGAAGTTGGGAAGGTTTTCCGACTCAATAGAAATGAAGATCAAGAATACAACAGTCAAGAAAAAAAAAAATGAAAGAAAAAGAATAATAAGAGCTTGGTAGTGAATTAAATTAAGGTGGAGCTGAACTTGCCTCAAGTTGTTTTCTAGATACCGCGAGGTGCAAGATGGTGTTTCCATCTTTATCAACCGAATTCACAAGCTCTTCCAAACCAAGCTCTTCCAGCCATTTGACCAAGTTTGTAAAGGCTTCAA